TATAAAAGTTATTATTATCTAGTCTATTTAGTACTAGCTATAGTTTACATTAGTATTAAAGTAACTATTTAAGGTGTTATATAAATGCTTTTAGTTATATCTAAGGCCTATGTTATATATATAGTATATATTTACACAACTTTTTAAGATATCTAGAAAGATGTCTATATACTAAGTTTTTTTTAAATATTTAGCTATTAACATAGATTAATAAAGATCTTTATTTTATTTATAAAAATATTATATAGTTAACTTATATAGTTATTATTTTTTTATACTTTTTAAAATTATATAATTTTATTTACTAAAAGTTTTTCTTTAGTAGTTTTCCTTTAGAGTAGAAGTTTATATAGGTTGTAATGTAGTATAGATTATATAAGTAGTATTAGTAGTGCATACACTACTGCAGGCAGTAGTGTGTACAATTAAGGGTGTAGAGCAGGCATTAGGTAGGGTAGCATGTATTATTTATACAGTAATTAGTGTAGTACTAGCTAAGATGTAGAAGTAAGTAATGCTAGTACATTTAGTATTATTAGCAGCATTATGTTTAGTCTACTTTTATATAAAGCCTTATATAGTAATAAAGGTTATATATAAAGCTTTTTTAGTGTAATTACTTTTTTTATGCTATATTATACAGCTTCTAGGCTTAAGTACTTTTATTACTTAGCTATAGTATAATTTTTTTATTTTTTAGCACTTATATAAGCTCTTTTTTAAACGTGTAGCTAAGTGCTAAAAAGTTTTATAGTGTTACCTCTAATATTCTTATATCTTTTATAACATAGTCCACAAGCGAATGTTCAACACAAGCGAGTGTTCCGCCCTACTACTAAATTTAACTTTAAAGACTATTAATTTAACAACGCAAAAATATACTATATAAAATAAACTACTATAAGATTATTTAATATCCTTGCATGTATAAGAGTTATGCCTAGGCTTGTTGCAGCGCTTGCAGCGCTGTGCGCACGCTGCGCTGCTTTTAGCAGTTAACTTCTTCTAAGGCATTTTACTACCTCTTACTATACTAGTAAGCTTCTAAGTACTTAACTTAAAGCCTTAATAACTTATTAGAGTTTTTTCTTTCTAAATTTACTTTTTTTTACACTGCTTGCGCTTTATAGCTACCTTATAGGCCCTTTCTAGGGCAGCTGCTTAATTGCGCTGTAGAACAGCAACATAAGTTATCTTAGTAGCACCCTTACTTAGCTGCTTTGCTAAATTAAGCATAGTAAAAGAAGACAAATTTTAATGCCTTTAAATCTAATTATATAGTAGAGTTAACTAAGCCTTAACTTTATAAAAATTACTAGGTGTTTAAGCCTCCTAGGCAGTATTTAGTAGTAGAGTAGCTAGCTAATTAGGTAGCTGTATATTAAGCTTTAAGAGCACTAGCTCTAGGTTAAATAGGACTAGTCCTGTAGCTCTAAAGCCTGCGCAGATATTATCTGTTATAATTAAGCAACTAAATGCTGCTTTAAAGGCTAGTAAGAAAGTTAGCTTATTAATATAGTTAATCTAGTAGCAGATTAACTAGCTAATCTTAGTACTGTACGCGCACTTTAACAGCAAAAAGCAGCTAACGTTAAGCAGCTGTAGAATATGTGACACATGTGCTAGCATACAGAGCGCTATAATACGCCTTTGCTTGCAGAGCTTTAGAAATTTAACAGAGTAATAGCTCTTATAGCTATTAAAAATAAGTAGCTGCTATAAGCTTACTAAGCAATCTTTTATATGCAAATTAAAGTGCTCTAGCTATGTAATTTTATGTTTATTAGTTATCTAGCTGTTATTGCTAACACTAATAGCCTAGTCCTTTAGTATATCCTTATCTTTATACTAGGCAGATAGGTGATGCTTGCCTTTAAAGATTGCGTACAGAGGTATTACCTACCTATCTGCGTTAATGCCTGTAATAACTGTCACCTATTTACAGTTGCCTAGCTGTATAGCCTTTAGCTAATTATGTCTATCTATGCCTATAACAACTATTTAGCTTAATATAACTCTTATCTAAAAGCCTGTCTTGTTAAAATTATACATGTCTTAATCTATAATGCTGTACTTTAATTATGTAGCCTTTATAAGCTTAAACTACTTGCTTATAATTACTAGATCTTTGCATTTTGCTTATTAGTAATTATACAGTTAGCTAAGGTAGGTTTTAACTGCTAGCGTACGCGCAACAAAGTTAGATAGCTAGTTAATACCTGCTAGTAGAGCGCTGCGCTTAGTAAGAAGCTTGTTAGCTATCTCTTATACAGCACCTAGAGTAGGCGCAAATCCTTAGGAATCTAGATTAAGTATATGCTTAATAATTACCTTCTCTTCTAGCTTTGTAAGCTTCTTGTTATTAGCCATATAGTTGCGTTGCATAGTCATCCCTGCGCGTTGTTAGCAGAGAGCTATTTAATTAACATTGTAGAGTGCTGCAGCGCGCCTCTTAGTTAAAGACATGTCTTTATTAAGAGCTTAAATAGCTAGGTTAATTCTAGCCTTTTTTAAAGATAATTAATTATATAGTTGTTAATGCATTGCAGTTAGTAGTAGGTTGGCTGCGTTTTAGTAGTAGAGCAGAACACTCGCTTGTGTTGAACATTTGCTTGTGGACCATGTTAAGCTATTTATATAATAGAAAATATTTTTTATTTTTTTTATTAGTTATTACATAGAGTTATTAGTTGCTAGTAAGATTTTATTATAATAGTATAGTTAATTACTTTTCTAGTAGATTGCGCAGGTACTGCTGTTGTCTAGCTGCTAAGTTATACAGCTTTAATAGCTTTAGTATGCGTTTTATACTATCTTCTTCTTACTTTATACAGTAGTAGAGCTTACTATATAATGTAAAAGATTAATCTACTATTATTTAGCTACTAAGTTATATAGCTTTAATAGCTTTAGTGTGTGTCTTACACTATCTTTTTTTTACTTTATACAGTAGCAGAGCTTACTGTATAATGTAAAGAATTAATTTACTATTCTAAAAAATAAGTAACTAAACAAAGTACTTTATAAAGTATAAGTACTCTGTTATTACTCTTTTTAAAAAATAAGTAATAAAACAAAGTACTTTATAAAGTATAGGTACTTTATTATTACTTTTACTAATTTATAGTTAATTAAATTAACTACTAATTAGTGTTAAATAGGCTTTAATAGCTAGCTGCTTATAGTATAAGCACTTAAGTAGTAAAAGTAAGAGTAGTGTACAGTGTGCATAGCGTATAAAGTAGGTAAAGTAAGAGTAACATGTTTCTAGTTTTATTACTTTTTTCTTTTCTCTGTACAGAGGAAAAAGAGGATATCTAGATATTTGCGCACAGAGGTTCGCGCACAAGCATCATGTGACATAGATACGTGATCCTGCTTGTGCACGATCGCTTGTATCCAGGCCGCGACGCTGCTGCTGCGTACAGACACTAAGAGTTATAAAAGTAATTTAGGCTTATTTATAAGCTTAACTAATTTTAGCTTTTAAAGCTTTTTTAGCCTTAAGCTAAAAAGCTTTTATAAAAAGTAACTATATAAACACTTTATTAGTTAAGAGTTACACTAGAATAGTAGTAGAACTAGTTTAAGCCTACTTTAGAAGAGTACTACAGCGTATTATATTTGCCTCTATTGCTAATAGTTACTATAAGTAGCCTATAAGAAGCGAACTAGTAGTCTTTAAAGTTCTAAAACTTAAAAAGCTTAGTATAATAAAAAAGTTATTTAATTTTTATTTAGTGTATCTTAAAAAGTTGTTAGGTTTAGTTTAACTATGTCTTTAATAGTTTTTTAAGTTTTACTTATTTTTTAACTTAAAAACTTAGTGTTTTTTATTTTTTACCTTTTATACTCACTAATCTAGTAGAATTTAGTTAAGGCGCTAGGATATAAAGTGCTTAAAAAGTTAAGCACTAAGGTTGTTATAAGGCGTCTCTAGAACAGCTTTAGAAGAGGTAGTAGCTGTGGCTCTGCTTTTACGTGTGTTACTACTACTAGCTATTATTATTATAGCTTTTTAATTAAAGTAGAGCTTAAAAAGTAGTATTAGAAGTAGCCTTTTATTCTTTAAACTAACTATGTTTTTATAAAAGAGTATAAAGGATTTAAATTATAAAAGCACTGTAAAGCAGAAAGCATAAAGCGTAGAAAGGGGTATAGAATAGTATTAATAGACAAATCCTTAAAGAGACTTAGGGGTTTATAAGAGGATATATATATATGTGCTAGGGCACGTGACGGGATGTCATGTGCCTAAGGCCGGGCCGAGGGCTCTCTAGGGAGAGTCCGAGGCATGTCCAAGTTAACCGTGACATAGGCATAACATATAAATATGTAAGTAAGAAGTAGAAGTAGTCTCTAAATAATATTTTAGGCTGTACTATACTATACAGTGCTAGAGTAGGTTATTATAGGCTATAATAGAGTGCGTTGTGGTGGGTCTTAGCAAAAGTAAGCAACTCAGGTGTGCAAGCCACTCGCCTGTGGAGTATGTTACCTAACAAACTTATATCTAAAGGTTCTACGTATCTGCCCCAACCCTGCCCTGCCCTGCCCTCTGCGCTACCCCTATCTCTAAGTATTTAGCTGCACCTCTCCCCTTAGCTAGTTTAGTAGTTTTTTAATATCCTTTTGTACAAATCCTATAGGCGTTAATAGAACTCCCAGGTTTCTAAGTCTCCACGCACTCCCATATGCGTCTGAGTGGATTCACACCGCATTCAGACCTATTGTCTTGCCTGTGCCGTTACAATGTATAGAATAGTAACAGTTCTAAGTAATACTATACAGTGTAGCATAGCATAAAAAATTGTTGTACTGTGGCGCAATATTGCTACGTAGGCGTTTTAGTAGAGATTCTGCGGCGCTCGCATATGACACACATTATTGATTATGAGGAACTTGAACAGCTAAGGCTTTAGAGGCTTTAAAATCACTAAAAGATATTCTTAGCCCCTTTTTACAGTTTTAAATATATATAAGAGAAGCGTAAGAAAAGAATGCGATTTGATCGCTTAGAACGCTCCATTTACTATGTAAAACATTTGGGCTCCCCTCCTTCGAGAGGTAAGATATTTGTAAGGACTAAGAAGACGTTCTGGTTCCTAGTCTATCTTCCCAACACTGTCGAGGTCCGCTGAAACATGTGAACAATATGTGTGACTCCGTTTAATGTCATCATACAGTTAGTTAATGTCACACATCGTCTAAACACTTGCTTTGCTAATCCACAACCTCGTTCCATATTCTCATGCAAGCAAGTGCATGGGGGAGTCTAAGGGCTTTCATAGAGAGCGAAAGAAACTCTCCCCACCACTAATTTATGCCCGATTAGATCTGACAACCCATATTGTGTAGCTCGCGTCACCCCGAACCAATTGCGATATACTACGGTCTGCTGAATATGTGGTAGTTTTCAAGAGAGCCAGAATACCTCTACTATTAAGTGGTCAGAATCCAAGTAGGCGTGGCCACACTTGAACAGGGGGAACAGGGAGAAAAGGCAAGTTTCGCGACCCAATAATATCTATTCCATCCAACTACACCGATGTACCTCTCCATTTCAAGCAGCCTACCATCGTAGCATCATTCCACGCCCGCCTTCTCCTCGCCCCTCAGAAGATCCCGACTCTAGTCATGCCAAGGTGCCGCTAATAATGCATTAAGAAGATACCCAGAAACATCCCTTTCAGTGTTATGAAACTCCAAGACTTGAAATTTCGCCCATCTCATCTTTTCTCGCCCCCCCGACCGAATATGCTGCTTTCCACCTCATCTTGACATTGCTACCCTGACCTCGCTGGACGCCGTGTAGCTTGATAGTCTGTGTAATACCGTTCTGTTGGTTTGGGGAAAGAAAGATGCTCGATTGGGGCTCTAGTTTGAGTTGGTAGACCTTTAACAGAGCTTAGAATCTTTCAAATACAAGAAAAGGCGGCGGGGTATTACCTTTGACACAGCAACCTGCAGTGTCAGATCCGTAACGGGCATTGACGTGTTATTTGATATTCGGGAGTTGATCAGGAGCACAGTCTCTGATTCTCGAGAAACATGGAACACAACGTTTATGCTAGTGTTATTCACCGTGATTTCCTTCGATGTGTCAGGGACCGCAGATGCAAAAGTCCACTCGTCATCGTCATTCGCGGTCATAGAGCTGGCCTGTGCTAGATTAGAGGAGGGAGCAGGGTGGGGAGCGCCCATGCCAGAAGGTTGTGGTTTGATGGATTGCTGAAATTGGAAGGGGGAAGCTTGCCGGGGAGTGGGAGAAGCAAGTGCAGCAAAAGGATCCGGCGTGAAGCGAGCGGGCTGTGAGGGAGGAGGTTGAGGAAAAGCAGATGGAGGTGGAGATGGTACTTGAGAAAGAGGGCCAGAGCTTGTGAGTCCTCCGAGGAGGTCGAAGTTCGGTTTTGGAGTGGAGGGTTGTTGAATTTGGGTCTGAGGTTGTGGTGATGACATGCCCGATAACCCAAGGACTAGGAACGCTTCAGTAAAGTCCCACATTTTCAAGGGGAGGATTACTAACCCGAGCCGTTAGAACCACCCAACGAGATGCCGCCAGTCTGGCCGAAGGTGTCGCCGCCTAATGACAATCCAAGAAGGTCATCCTCCAAGGTATTGCCCCTCGGCGCTTGCGGTTGCGGAGCCGATGAGTTGGATGGTGCTGCAGCTGCAGCTTCGTCTGGTTCTCCGAAGTCGATCAGATTCAAGGTATTATCCGCTCCTTTCGAAACCCCTGCACCGCTCCTCCCAAGTGTACCCTGGGGGATCTTGTTCGCGCCTTCAATATCGCCTTTCCTGAAAAGTTTGTACCTTTCTATCGTTCGATGTATACTGTCGTTTATTTCGAATAGCTTTGCTACTGCTTCGTGGTCGTCAGACTCCTCTTCGCACATCTTCTGAATCTTTGGCTGGGCACTCGCCAGTGCATTTGCGAGTTCCTAGACCATAGTCAATTTCACCAGCCGTAACAAGTAGATTAGCTGAAGGGTACCTCGAAGACATCGCCTTCTTTGATCTGGTCTCCTGGCTTGTATCCTTGTAGCATTTCCTCGAGTATTTTAGCTTTCTGCTGGATCCGGCTAACCTCCTCTGCGGCCTTGGCCCGGTAATCAGTCTTATTTCTTGTGTCGTAACCAGCCATAACCTTCATTAGCTTATTGGCCTCTTGGAGGTCTTGTGGCCCGCCTCGACGAATCAGTTCCTGGAGCTTCGCCGATTGAGCCTCCCGTTCTTCCTCTTCCATCTCATCGGCCGACCGAAGGTTCTGTCTAGAATTAGTAACATGCATTGCCCGTGCTCAATTTGTTTAACGCACATCACTTGGGTTCAGCACTGCCGCATCCTCCTGCCGTATCTCGGGAAACATATAGCCCTTGTAACTCAGCAGCCTGTGCATGTCCCGTATGAAGCCCAGGTCCTCCTTGTGCCGCGATGTCTGACATATCGTCTGCCGCCATTCCTCTATCAGCTCCAGAATGCGATTCTGCACACGAGTCGGATGCACCGGAGGGCGCTCTGGGAATCTGCGGACAAGCTCGTTGAGAAACTCCTTCGTGCTTATTTGGAGGTGGAAAGGATATCCGCAATTTTTGACACATATATCGAGGAGCTGCGAAACGTGAGTTCTGTGTGCCGAGTGGGGGCAGAGGAGGTAGGCATCCGTACATTGAGCGCGAGGAGGGAGACGTTCGGATTGCGGTGATTGATATAGTGTACAATTGAGACGGCAGCTTCTCGAGGGCTATGATTACAATCTTAGAACTAAATTCACCACGTTGTGAGGCGACGGGTTCCTTACGCATTTCCCTTCTTCGCGTTGATCAAGTCGGCGATCTCGAGGTTGAGCGCGAGGTTGGGCTCAAAGTTCTGGGGATCGCAGGCGTTTACTAGAGCATGGGGATTAAGCACATGTATCGTTTAGAGCACTATGAGCTTCTCACATATGAAGCGCTGCAGCTGCGACGTAGGAGGCTCTGCAAATCCGCCATACCGATCTCTGGCGGCCATGCGCGCCGACGCTGCTTCCATGGACGCCAGGCAAGGAGTTTCCGATGGCGAATAGAGGAAATAATATATCAAGGGCGACGTGGGTTGTGAGAGCGCAGTGCGCAGGGCTGCGAAGGCTGGAGTGGTGGTGAAGTGATCTCAACCAACCCTGTGAATTATGGCGGGGAGTTCTGCGCCCTCAGCCACAGTCTTGGCATTCACTACAAAGGCCGGACACCACTTGGATGCAGGCAGCGAGATATTCAAGAACACGTTGAGCGAACACAATTATTTCTTCTGCATATTGTGCTTAAGTGCATCAGAGAATTCCATGTGTACGCCGATTTTAAAATCCCTCCCCATCTTGCCCTAACCTCTTCGCTGGCACTGTAGTCTTGGAAAGGATGTGATTCCCAGATTCCAGCAGTCGAGATCCCTTCATTTGTCTTGAGCATACTTTAATCTTATCATAGGTACTACGGAGGTACTGTGCGCTTTCCTTTTCGCGTGGATACTACAGAACCTTTTTCTTCGAGTCGTATTTTCTAGTATGGAGCCATTTTATACTCATTAGTTCCTGAACAACTCGCTCAGGATCCTTATTCTTCTATTTGAAACCCTGGATGTTTACAGCTGTACCCTCTGTATAGCCTCCGACGTCAGTGATTGTGAGGAGTCCTGTCTTCGACGGATTCAGTCTCATAATCGCATTAGTCTCATAGTCTGCTGGATTGGACATGGCGGAAGGGGATAGACTTTAACATGATCCTCCAGGTGGCAAAAAAGCCTGAAATGAGATTACACTGGAACGAGCAGCTCCTGCATAACAAAATGTTCAGCCTAGTGCATCGACTGTATCGTTTCGGCCAGGTTTCCAGAGTGCATCGCACAGTTGGCCAACCAGCGAGTCCATCTGTCGAAAGGGTGCGCCGCAAAACCATATCATCTCATGCAGAACGACCTCTAGTCGTGGAGAAAGAGATAGTCGAATATTGGCACTCATTCCGTCGTTTGTTCTTTGTGAAGGAGTGCAAATAAACGGAGGGATTGCGGGATCGCTGAAGTGGATCTCTAGTGGTCTTTTGGTGACAACCATTTTTCTAATGGCCACAGCGCCAAACGAAGACGCTCCGTCGACGTAGATCGAACCTTCTAGGAAGTCGTTCTCTTGATCTCCCGTGGAGCTGTTGCTCAATTCGACGAAAGAAGCCACAATGAATTGTTTGATTCAGAAGAGAGTTGTGATACCAATTGTTCCTAACACCCCAAGCATACTCGAAAGCAGGTCCGGGTTTCGCTGTTTCGAAGCTCTGGTGATCTTGCCATCTGCCAGCACGACTTCAAGCCAAGCGACGGCTCCATCGAAGAATCCATACCAGAATGAAGATCTACCTCTAGCGGTGCCAGTAGATGAGCCTCCAACGGTCGTGTTGGGGAAGACCAGAATGACAGACGGCATAGGACCATGCCTCGGTCCTTTTCAAACGAGCTTGTCCATGGAAACATTTGGTTCGGCTATAGCAAACCTGCAGATCGCCGGTATGTCTAACGGTTCGAGAATCGTGTATTGTTCGCATATAATTAGTGGATCCATGGTATATCTCCGTTCAGAACCCCCGGACTTGTTCGGAAATCCCACGCACCACAAAGCGACGAGTATCCAGTTGGAGAGGGTTGGAAATGCATGATAGGAAGAATTGGCGGGGCTTGTGATAAAACGACGCCTTGAAAAGGCTGTACTGGAGGATTTAGTTCAAGGCCTTTTAGGTGAGAACGTAAAACAGTAACAACAAGAAAAGAAGGCGACGGCTCATGCGAGAAATAATAGACGGATAAGTAAATGCATTCCATAGTGACACTTTTCGGTAGGTCTTCAGGTTATTCTTAACGCATGGTTTATGAAAGGATATCGGGCGCATGAAAAATCTGGATCCCGGGCTGGACTTGAAAGTGCCTGCGGCTGAACAATGAAAGAAGCTACCTCTCTCAGGTGATAGGAAAGGCCTGAGATTTTACGTTCCGTCAGTGGTTTTAACGGTCAGCAAAGCAAGGTATGAAAGTCCAATATTGCAAAGCCAATACCAAAATGGCTAGCGAAACCTGATTGATCTTGTACATCGCGGGATTCATGCAGTACGAAATATTATACTACTCTAGTCTTCAACGGTTCTGTTTATTTCTCTGTTCCCTTACGAAGTCACTTGCCCATATTCCTCACCGCGTCAGCTGAAATCTGCAGGAATCCTCTAGCGGTAGTTGCTAGCGTGCCGTAGTATCCCAAAGGCCTTCCTAAACCAATCCTGTCCTTCATGTTCATCTCAATCTCGACGTAGGAGACGCGAAATGCGAGATGAGCGCCTATACTATAGTTTATCTATTTCCTGCAAATACTTAGAAAAAATGGCAAATGTTTATTGGCCGGAGAACGCATTTGAGGAAACATGCCGGTCAGCTCCATTTAGTTCATCAAGGAGGAGGACCAAGACGGCGATTGGTACATTCTCAATAAAATTTACTTGGTATCGGTTGGCGACGAACAGTAGATCTGCGGTACTATTGGCGTAATTGGTCGTGTCGCCCATGTAACTGCCGAATGCGTTAAATGCCGTTAATTCTTGTCATCCATGATGGTGTAAGACCACAATTAGATGCTTGAAAGATACGAAAATGACGGGAGAGGAAAAGTACAGCTACGAAAAGGAGCTGTTTGCTTTGCTCTCCAGCCGCTGAAACACAACTCCCTTTTGAAGGAATAGATAGTATACTGTGAATGGAGCTCCCCAGGTTTTGATTGCTGGCGCAAACATTAGCATCGGAACCCCGAGACCCAGTTTCATCGCCGTTGTTGGTTCTTGCTAGGGAATTAGACAGAAATAAAGCATATGAGGGGCTTCACATAGTGAATGGGAAGGGTATCTCAGGTGAAGACAGCTAGGGGAGGCTCAAGTTCATGCTAAACTTAAGCCATTTGCTAAGACAATAAATTAGCGTTTTTTTGTTGTGTGCAAAATTTGCTAGATTCTGTTACGATATCCTACCTCGACTTTACTATTGCTAGGTGCCTTCTGCCGGTAACTAGTCTTATGTAGAGAGGAAAGGATAGGAAGGGGGAACAGAGAGGAGGCTAGGTGGAGGGGTTTATGGGAGAGGTTTCCTAGTGCTTCGACTTACGACGGTGTTTAGAGGGTGTACAGTCCTCTAAGCTATCCTGGCGTAGCTAAGGGAAACTAAAAAGGGGAAGAGAGGAAATAATAAAGGAGTAAGATGACTAATGTGTTTGTACTATTATGAATAGAATAATAGTCTTCACACGCTTCTTGCTAGGAAGGATATTGTAACGGCACAAGCAAGACAATGGGTCCGAATGCGGTATGAATCCACTCAGAGGCATATAGGAGTGCGTGGGGACTCAGTAAACTAGGAATATCATTAACACCTATAGGCCTTGTACAAAAGGATATCAGAAAACTACTAAGCTAGCTAGGAGAAGAGGTGCGACTAAATACTTAGAGGAATAGAGGTAACAGCAGGGGACAGGGTAGAGGCTAGGTTAGAGTTAGAGCTAATACAATAATCTTTTAGAGGTTCTAAGTGTAACAATTCTCGTTCCATCTCAGGTCGCCCGGAACCTCCGGAAGGCCCCTGTATCGGCCCCGACCTCGACCTGGCCCCGACTCTGCCCTGCCCCCTGCTGTACCCCTATTCCCTTATGTATTTAGTCGCACCTCGCCCCCGTAGCTAGCTTGGTAGTTTTCTGATATCCTTTTATACAAGGCCTATAGGTGTTAATGGCATTCCTAGGTTCAGAGTCCCCACGCACTCCTATATGCCTCTAAGTGGATTCCTACTGCATTTAGACCTATTGTCTTGCCTGCGCTGTTACATTATATTAAAAAACTTGCTTTTACTAGTAACAGCCTTATTACAATATTACACTAATTATTTGTTTAACTACATTTAAGCTCTAAAACGCGTCTAATTTAGTTTAAGTTGTAATACTTACACACTGTTATATTAAACTATTTAGTCTATAGACTAGATTCTATTAACCTCTAGTTAACTAAAGCCTTTAGGTTTAGAACTTCTTATCCCTATGTACTTAGGATTGCCTTTAGAAAAGTTACAAAGAATGCGCTAAGGTAGAGACTTAGAGACTACTAATAACTTATTAGAATTAGAGACAACTGCTAATGTCTAACTAACTACCCTCTAACTCTAGAGTTAAACACGCTCTAGCTAAGCCATACCACCACCCTGTCAACAGCTAAACCTGCGTCCGCAGGACCTAAAGCTAGACCCACCTAATTTAGAGTTAACTTCTAGTAGTATATCTATGCTTAATTACAAGCACAGCTTAAGCAGCTAATCTACTAAAACACTGCTAGGCAACTACTAAATCACCTCTAATAATACCTTAAATTATCTCTACTACCCTAATAGCAAGAGACCTTTTAGACACCTCTAATAATACCTAATGCTACTTTACTAAACGCACGCCTAAAATTAATAACTGCATAAATAGCAAAGAACAATAGCAAGCCTTAATTCTTAACAGGCTAGACATTAATACAGATTACTATTAGAACAGGCGCGCATAGCGTTTAGGTTTAGAGGACACTGCTAGCAGTGCAAAGGAATACTTAGCAAGGACACCTAGCTAAATTAGACTAGTTTTAGTTTAAGAATATAAAGGACATAATAAAAGCAATACTTTATACTATAACTGCTACTAATAGAGACTATTAGTCTATAAAGAGGGGGGTAGTGTAACAATTCTTGTTCTATCTTAGGTTGCCTAGAACCTCTAGAAGGCCCCCGTATCAGCCCCGACCTTAACCTGGCCCTAACTCTGCCCTGCCCCCTGCTGTACCCCTATTGCCTTATGTATTTAGTCGCACCTTGCCTCTATAGCTAGCTTAGTAGTTTTCTAATATTCTTTTGTACAAGGCCTATAGGTGTCAATGGCATTCCCAGGTTCAGAGTCCCCACGCACTCCCATTGTCAGATTGAAGCACTGTTTCTGGGCTTCCTGAGATGAATGATGGGTTTGGATATGATGTATGGGAT